AATGCTATTTTCAACATCAAAATGTTTAACACTATAACTGTTACACTTAGACACTCGCACGAATTTTTTTTTTATTTAGTCAGAGGGCGCTCTGTGGAGATTAATTTAATGAAAAATAAGCATCTTATTTATTTTAATTTTAGTTATAATTATGGTGAGGCATATGAAGTTTTCAAAAAAGACTGTAAATTGATAAGCTGTTCGAGAAGCTTTAAAAATATGTATTTAAATCATTGAGTTAATAAAATTCCTACTGTTCATTTTTATAAAATACTGTTTAATATACTTCATTTCTTAAAAAAAAAGTTGGCAACTCTAAATGCGGACTACCAGTGCCATTTCTGGCAATAAACCATGTTTGGTTAGTCTCCACGTGGTCCTCTCTGGAAGCCATCGTGCTGAATTTTAAGTGTATTTTATCACGATTTGCTAACTGACCTGCCTTTTCATTCCCACCAATCATCCCTCATTGGTGCCCCACTACCGTAAGGTACCGTTAGCGCAGGCGGGGTTACCATTCCATTATCATCCATTAAAAAAACTTGGGTACCTAGCTACACCTACCTGCCATCGTGACAATGGGTAATGCCATGAAATGTAATGTAATGAAAGTAAAAATATGCCCACATTTTAAGTGAGTGCATTTATAAACAAAGTAATTTTGAATTGATTAATAAAAAATATTGATTTTTAAAAATTAACAAACCTATTTGCATTTTACAAATACTAAATATTTTTAAAGTATTTTTTTTTGTAATAAAACAGAAAAAACGATTTTTTAAAGTATTATTAAATAATACTTATTCAAATATGTATTATATCTCTGATAATTATACTTATGCCAATTTTTTATCATAAAAAAAATTCGAAACGGGTACGATTGAAATATGTACCCCCACTTTTATTTACTAATTTAATGTTTTTATTTATGTATAATAAAGTCACTTGAGAAATTAATATTTTGTTTCACAAATAAGTAAATTTTAATCCTGATACTAAGAAGAGAGTTAACAATTATTTTTTTAATTTTTTTTTTTTGAATAGCATAATATGCAAAAAAAAAGAAACAAACGAATTGTTTCGGAATAAATTTGTACTTTTCCTCCTGTCATCCTCCTAAAAAAGAAATTAGATATCAACCCAAACAAAAAAAAACATTCTTTGGAGAATCACTTTGCATTCTGCAAATAGATAACATAGGTATTTATTGTTTGAGTTCGAATAGATAATGTAAGGTTATTGAGGTTATAATTTGTCGAATTAGGACAGAGTGTGGGCGGGAATAAAGATCTACCTACCATAAGCTCACTGTCTCACATAATACGATTTAAATGCAGGTCGTCGTTCATTTATCATTAGATTATACCATTTAATTATAATATTATTATTACTATTATTACAGTCAAAAACTAACATACGGGGCACTACACGTGATAAAATAAAACATATTAGGGTCGATCCTATGGCGCCTTTTCTCTAAACCTATGTCTAATATTAAAAATTAATTTTGATATCATAGCGAAACCTCTATTCTAAGGATCAATATGAACAAAATTTTTTATATTTACTGTTTTTTATTTTTATTATTTACAACTAAAGACAAATAATATATAATAACTCAAATATGCATTTATATCTGTTTGCAGTATTTTTGCCTTTAGATAGGTATGAGATATATAAAATTTTAATGATCAGACAGAGTATTAAATTGTATTTAAAAACAGCTGGACTGTATTAATTTAAAATTTTCATACATTATATCACTAGTTTAAAACTGACTTTAATACTTTTTGTCGGTTTACTTTCATATTGATGTTATAATAGTCTAAGTAATTTTGTTAAAATTTATAATAATTTAACTGGAAATCGTAATATAAAATTTTATTGGCACGTCAACCTACAACGTTTTCTTTAAATAAAAATATATAATTACACTTAAAATCCACAAAACGTGGTTGGAAGCAGATTTGCGCGGCAGCGTGGTTGCGACCCAGTGCAGGCGTAATGCGGTACAATCACCGTACGTTCCCGTGAGAACCGATATGCCGAGCCCGCACTCGCGGTCGCTCCACATAAAAGGTCAAATACCGAGGCACTGTCGCGGACTAATTTTCGTTAGAAACCTTTTCTATATGAATGAAAATAATACACTTCGAAATAAATATTTTATTAATAACACTATCGAAACAAAATGTAACACGAAGAGTGCTGAAAACGAGTCGAGTGTACGGATAGATTTAGACAAAACAAAGAGAACAGAACAAGTAAAGACCGAAACATGCAATTAGCTAGATTATATCTTTTAGTTTTAACTCCAATTAAAAAAATATGCTAAGAGATGTTCTTTGGCTCAGAAAATTCTCGAAAATACTTTTCTGATTAGACTTGTGAGCTTATGTTCATTCTCCGCTTGCTCCTTTAACTATTCTTTAGAGGATTTTTTGACTGTTCAAAGAATATTTTTTAATTCCTCGGCTGTATTGGTAATGGACAATATTACAAAACATAAGTAGGTGGAGAAAGTGCCCATGTTATTTTTCTGCTGGTTCATAGCCTTCTATTAAAACTGTTGTTCGGCCTTTGTTTGTTTCGGTTTCTCTAGTCATTATTAGCGCTTTTACATTAACCAAAATTTGAAGGACAAGTAAAAGAATGTGGATTTACTTGCTTGGTTTAAATATAATTTTATTTTTATCACAATTGGGAATACATTTGTTTTTCTGTTATTATAGTATTTAAAACTTTGTGATAAGTATATCAAGTAGACGCCGTTTAAAATCTACCTTCATGCGGATTTTTTCAAATAAAAAAAACCGATGACTTCTCTCCCGAATATCATTTACTCGATATTCTAAGCCCAAGATAAGAACGCCTTCTGCGGACTTGCCCTTTGTTTTCCCTCAGAATATTTACTGAGTAAACATATTTTTTCTTCCGTCTGGAAGTGTAATAGTATCTAGTTTTTCTAAGTGTAAACATTTCTTGTAATCGTTTGTACCTATTGTTAGTTTACTACTGTAATTTTTGGAAGAAACAATAAAAAATATATGTCTATTATCAATACTTCCAGATAATTGCTCTGAGTCCTCTGAGTAACTTTACATTTCTAACTAATATGACATGGGCTTTTGAAAGAAAAATGTGGACTTTGTTAACCACATTTTTAAATGATTAACTAAGTACATTTAAATGAGTTTACATGATAATAATTTTGTGAATTCGATGGCTAATTAATCAAGAATTCAAAGAAATACTGCTATGGTAGATATTCTTTGCCAAGAAGATAAAAGTGAAAATTTAAAAATAGGTACCTACCTACAATTTCAAAAATGTACATAGTTGTACTTGAGAAACGTAGACAAGTACAGTAGAGAAATAATTAGATACAAGTCACTTGTACAATTCTTGCTAACAACATTGTGTGAAAATATTGAACAATAACTACAAAAAGCTACGATTCTCAAAGAAACTACTCATTGAAGACGTTTACACGTACTATTATAAAGTGATCTACCCTGCCCCTATAATAATACCCAAAAGTAGATCCCTTGGGTTATGGTTTCTTATACATCGCAGCTCATATATGAATGGTCAACCTATGCACATGCTGCTCCATTGATATTCCTTCACACGGACACGAGGCGACAAAAAATAATACTAAAACCGTTACGCTCCCAAAAAAGTATTCCCATAACTCATTGAATATGTCTCATTGATAAACTATTGCTTGTTGTATGATTGTATCTACTTATGTTTAGTTGTATTTTAATACTGTAATAATTAAATTATAAAGTATATTTTAGTAATTACTTTAATTTGTTTTGGTTGGGTACATATATCTTATTATATTTCTATATTCTTTATATTTCTTTTCTCTTATCTTAATATATTTCTGCGGTTATACGTAATATATTATGTATAACAGAAATATATTAATAAAATGAGCTCTTTTCATTAGAATTTCTTTATTATTAACAGGTATATAATAACAGTGTATATTAACTAAAATAACTTAAAGTATTTAAAAGATTCTGGAGAGTTCTTCAAAATATTTACAAATCATTAAGTGGCTAAATGTATCCGCTTTTAGTCGTTATTTAAGAAACGGAATTTAACGTTTCTGGTTTATTCTTTCAATTAAATAGTTATCTAATCTTATCAGGGTCATACAGAGACAATTTATGAGTTTAAGTTTATGAGTATGTTCGAAAGTAGATAATCATTGATGAAATAATAACGAATTCGTAGGTACAAAATTTTGTTATATAATATTTTAATGGTAAACCTTATACACTGCCACTAGGGCAATCGACAAAAAATAATGAAGAAAACACATGGACCACATCAAGTCACATGTGTAGGTACAGCGTGGGACCGGGACGGAGTTTATTCCATCAATGGAGCCCTGAGATAACAAGAGCTATGACTACATTGACAATTCTTAGTATTGCTTTGACAAAAAACGGACACATTTCCTGCTGACTGCTGATTCATTTTGTAGATTGCTACATAATTGTAATACTGTTCTATGATAGTAAATTATAACTATGTAATAATAAAGTTTCATGTTATCTGTGACTATATATACATGTCTATATAGCTATATGATATAGCTTTAAATCTTAAAATATCTTTATAAAAAAAAACTATTTATTTAATTAATTATATTTTATTGTACACACTAATACTACTTAAAATTATGAAAGAGGTAAGCAAATTAACAAAGGCGAGCTAAACTCTAAAAGAGTTCTCTTCCAGTTACAGATACATATATGAATATATATCTATTTAAATATATTTTTATTGAAGCAGGCAGTTAAATTACTAATTGTTGTCATATTCAAGGGTCAATGATAATTGGACAAATAGATTGATAGCACTGAATGAATGTTGATTGTATACAAGTACGTAACTACATATATGTAGTTAAGAAATTCATTCTTGCACTTTTAGATTCTAAAAGTCGTAACTAACTAACAGAACAACCTTGGTTATCTCAGCTGGAATGCTGCTGTAAACGGGCAGAGGGTGCATTAAGCTATCATGCCATCAACATGGCCGTCTGGTTTCTTGAGCAAGCTCAGGAATGTCTGCGAGGCGAGCCAGCAACCCGAGACGGAAGGAGCAGCGGCGGAAGCGGTGTACCAAGACACATTTTTATATACAAGTAAGCTTATAAATTTATTTATAAACAAACAAGTTTAGACTCTCTTTAAATGGCATTCAGTTGAATAGTGGGGTTTACAATCATGATACTTAATGCGTTCTGATATTGTCAACTTATACACTCTGACTCACAAAGCTTAATGGCCTATGGGCATACGATTGAATAACCTATTTCAATTCTTATTACTTGGTACTAATGTTGAATATGTTACGACAGAAGAACTTTTGTAAGACTAGAAGATTCCAAGGGACGATGATCACAACGCGCAACCGTCTCGCTCCACTGTGCCGTGCATCCTGCCCGAGTACAAAGTTTAATTTTCCAAGTATTTTTCCTTTCTTGAAACTTCGTTTTTGCATAATAATAAAAGTTTGTGACAAATGCAAAACAACAACTGATATTATTATTTATAAACAACATGACTCATTTTCTCGCAAGATAAAACATTCTGATTAAATTACGTAATTATAATTAATCATACATATTTTTTACTAACATGTCTAGAATTCAGAGAAATAATGTTTAGTAATTGTTTGCAACTAAAGCTGATTAAAATGCATAATTTGTATTTACTATGGACACACATTCCTCAATACTGAAGCTGTAGGCTTTATTGTGATTTTAAATTTGATTTATAGATTTCTATGGACTTAACGTGACTAATATTAGAATTTGAAAAAATATTTGTATGCTGTTTGTTACTTAATCACAATGAAAAGGCTAAACGTATTTGATTGAAATTTGGACACATAGATGATACACAGTACGTATATATTACCTACAATAGATACAGATACTCACGAAAATAACAAAATAATTTTAAATAGATTAAAAATATTGATTCTAACCTAAATACTCGTATTTAGTAGAATTACATACACTACAAAATTTTACTACCAAGTACCGAACTAGATTCTTAGAATCAAAGATAGAAACGCTACGTTTAAAAACTTAACCTATTGTAGTTTTGTCTTCAATAGATGATTCTTTAAAAATTGATTAAAAATATTTATTCTAATCTAAGTACTCGTATTTCATAGAATTACATTCACTACAAAATTTGACTACGAACCACCTAAGTTCTTAAAATCAAAAACTGAATGCTACGTCTTAAAACTTAACATATTGTAGTTTTGTCTTCAATAGGTAATTCTTCGAAAATTTATTAAAAAATATTGATTCTAACCTAAGTTACTCGTATTTAGTAGAATTACAGTTACTACAAAATTTTACTACGAAGGACCGAACTAGGTTCTTAGAATCAACGATTGAACGCTTAGTCTTAAAACTTTACGTTTTGTAGTTTTGTCTTTAATGGGTAATTCTTCGAAAATTTCAAAGTTGGTAACAAATATTATTGCTATTCATTTCTTTTGTTTACTTCATTTTGTAAACGCTTAATAGCGTCATAAATTGCTCCTGACGATTGTTGATTAAACAATTGAACGGGTCCCGCATGTTTTGTTCGGCTCAATGTAAACTGTTATTGGAAATCAATTGACATTGACTGAATGCATCATTGGTTCATTGTCATAGTTTACTTTATTATTATTTTGTAAATTTTTCTCAAAAGGGGGGAAAAGAGGCTTCTTCAGGGTCGGCAACGCGCGCGTAATAGCTCTGGTATTGCAGGCGTTCATAAGCTACGGTAACGGCTTACCATCAGGTGGCAACCAAGCGTACGGCCTGGTTGCCACCTCAGTGGTATAAAAAAAAGTAGTTGTTGTGAGTTTTGCTAGATATTTAAGTCTGTCTATGTAACATTCAGATAAAATTACTCTTTTAATAAAAAATTAAACTAAATCTTCCAAAAGTTTTATTACTCAGTAATGATGAACTCACATTTTAAAATGGCCTACTTGTGTATAATTGTAAATGATAAATTTGATCTAAATAATAAAATAAAAATTGCTTTAGCGACAATAATACAAATTATTGCAATTAACTTAATTGACTCTAAATGGACTCTAGTGACATAACTCACCTATCACATCTTTGGAGCAATAATTGTCTACATTCATTATTATATTAGATTACAATCTTAATCTTACAAACAGATATATGGACGGAGCGGATTACGAGATCACGATGAGCCTATTGACCTAAGCCAGTGATCGTTCAGGTGACCCTAACTTCATTCTCATCAATTACTTCTCCCTAGAACCCCGATAGCATATCTATTCTATTGTGTTATCATTTATTAAAAAAAAAGATAAATGCATTCATTTTCGCAATCACAATAATATAACCAAAATTGGTGTTATTGTATGGTATATATCTAAATAGTGGTGAATCGTGACGTTACTCATTATTCATTGGCCAGTTTTTGCAGTGAAAGTGAGGTTGTGGCGCTTTCTATCCGTCACACACACAGCTGCCGCTTGCGAAAGCCACAGATAAGTACCTACTACTCATTCAATTCATTTCTAACTGGAAAACAAACTCTCCATGTATATATACATGTTTTATGAGCTTTTATGTAAGTGGCTTTGCTTGCGGACAGTAAATTTTCTTTCCACAGAAACATTGATTAAGTGTGATAAAAGATTGGCTTGGTTATGTCCCCCCTGGCAAACGCTACGTTATGTTAAATTCATAACAATTGATTTAAAAACATGTCTTTTTTATACAATTTAAAAAGGTAACCTGGTCGCCGCTTGATGTAAGCAGGACCAAAAAAAACTATAAAATATGCCCTTGGCTACCTCTTATGCGTTATGCTTCCTACTGAAGGGCTAATGTAAGTCATGCCCTCAACTGAAATATAGATATAGCTTCATGGTTGCTAGTAGCTTTGGTGCCATAAGATCAACAAAATTAATAAAGAAACAAATACAATATTAGAGTAGATTGTTTGTCGTTCTTTAATTTGTCTTATTAAGGACAGATCCGTCAGTTTTTCGATTTTGCAGTAAAAATCTAGTTGGTTATGATTTACATTCTAAAATGTATTCTAACAATAAATGGACGAACCGTTCTAATTTGGTCTATATACTGTTATTTTTCCTTCTTTCACTGACATCCTTTGCTCCTCCAGTTTACGTAACATTTTTCCACAGCGGCGTGTGTGGAGAGAAAACTTTTATGCACTTCTACACGTTAAGGAAAAATTACACTAGCTATTCCAATGCTGATATTCTAAATCCTTCTGCTGACTGAATAATCATACTTTGAAAAAAACTTATGGTAAGTGAACTATGAATGGTAGTCACTGGCTCTCATTGATGTATTTATCTCTTTACGTGCGTTTATTTGACAAAGGATGCATTGGTGCAGTTTCGAAATTACCTAGTATAATAAACTAGTTCTAGAACTATCGAGACTATTATCTATAAGTATACGTAGAGTTAGTCATGGTTGCTCAACTAAATAATCAACGCATCATTATAATTGTACCTACTGTTTAATCTCCTACCCCTGGTATTTGTGTTTGTTTCTACAGACAATAGCTCATATGAATTGTATGAGACCAATACATGTATTACTGAAGTCGGTGAAGAGACAATGTCCATTGTGTGAACCTCATGGAAGCGACATGAAACCATCGTGAAACAAGATCCTTGCAAAGCCGCTAATGTGATGCGTGCACAGCGTATGCGTGTCTACAGTTCAGAAGAAAAGTGACGATAAATTGAATTTAGAAAAGCTTTGCAAATAAATAAGTACATATCTACTTATACTTGGTACTTACTTATACTACGTAGTTAACTGGTTCTTACTATATATTTTATTGAGATACTTTTATTTGTTAATAAACAAATATCCGGTCAGTGCACAATACTTGTCTGTAATATTTTTTATTACTTTCTATTTTTTATATATTAATGTGATGAATTGTTTTATATTCGTTTATTTGAAATACACACATCGTCCATAATATGTAATCAGGTAAAGTTTCTTTATTACGTTTAATAACATAGAAATAGATTGTATATTATAACATGGCATGCACCTCCAAAATCCAAAGAATGAAAAATATGTGAGTAAAAATATTTACAAGGTTTCGACTAAGGAATAAAGTAAAAGTAGAAAATAAAATAAAATATAAATACTTCTCTGCCAGGACAGCTAGTGAAGACGTTTCCTCACAAACACAAAGAGTACGTCACGTCACACATTGAAATAAAAATTTGGAGGTAAGTGCCATCAATATAGACAATCTATAGTTATTATTATAGTTAGCGATGGTACCTCCGCGTGAATAAATAAATGAAACGTGATCAGAGGAACTCAGTAGGTAGTGTGAGTGATTGGAAAATCAACAATTAATGAGGTAGTCGGACTGGCTTATTTGCTGTCAATTATGCTTTACTGTACAATAAAGGGGTGCTGATATGGTAGTACTTTGGTGCATGCGTCAGATTTTATACCAAGTGTAGACAAATAACATGAACCTACATAACATCTTAACAAATGAAAATTATAACAACTCTTCTTCAAACAATTAGATCACTTACATAACTTCTGCATTAAGTACATAATTATAAATTACATAAGGTTGGAACAAGTTACACATTCTAACTGGTGTTTTGTACTGTCAAAAATGCCAATTTACAAAAATTAAAATAAAGTCCACCAACTAATACCTCCTGTTGGAACTAAATGTATTTTTTATTTATACCATGAAGGTGACAAACAAGCATGCAACCTGTCTGACGGTAAACGGTCATGATAGTTTATGGACGCCTGTAACACTAGGTGTGTCACGTGATCGTAATAATTAAGATTTAACACTGGACAATACAAAAAGACTCATGATTTTCTTATATTATGAAGGAAAATGAAAAAGTACAAGTCAAATGTTAATCGAGTTTTAAAAAAGTTCTCAGAAAATAATGTAAAATGAAAATGACCATTATTGCTTTGTAATCAAATTAACTAAATAGGACGGAAAAGATTGTGAATAAATAAGAAAAAATGTAGACGCTCTAAATTGAATTTATTTTGATTTTGCCTTAGATCTTCCACGTGTCACGCTTATTTTTCTATTTAAACACGGTTTAGTTGTTTAACAGTAATACAATTGTTACCATTAGATAGTATTTTGTATATAAATTAATATTAACACCAGAGTAGTTTATAAACAGATTTTTAGATTATTGTAACCTTACGCTATACGCTCTGACTCGCTTCTGTTTATTAGAAACGCTACGTTGGAAGGAATAAAAAAAATGAAACATTTAGATTGCTGGTTTATCATGAAAACAGTCGCTTCTCTTATATAAAAAGAGCAATGTAATGAGACGTATAAACTTATATTATTATGAGTCGTTGTCTGGAGAGTTGACGTCATTGACAAATTTGGCAAGGCTCATGACCTCTACGAAGCATTATACCTATTGACTGTAGTGCATGAACATACAATGCTCAAACTACGCAGTAAGTATAGATTTTACTTGTTTACAAGATAGATTTCATAAAGACCCGTTCACTTTATTAAATTTGTAAATATTTACAGCTATCGATTTATAATAATTATAGGTACTATAATAAAAACCTAAAAATGGAGGAATTTGAAATTATTACGATTAGGAAAATGATATATCTAAGAAGTATAAGTTATAAGTTAGTCAAGCCCCTCTATTGTATTAAGTACTAGTGTAGAGAATTCCCTAGATGGTTCCACAATGTAATTTTGACTATCATATACTTAGATAAAGTCACCAGCAAAGCTAGTTTACATAATGATAAAACACAATGGATGTTTACAATGGAGTTGTATAAAGTAGGTATGATTAATAAGCCAAAACATTTTTTTTTTTTGTTTATTCTATGTGACATTTAAAATTACTTAGAGCAAATTGCACGGAATTTTCTTGATTAGGCTGGAAGAAATGTAGGCAATTTATAAATTAAAACGCGTAAATTTATACTTATTCAAAAAATCTTTACTTCTGAACAGTAAAAACCAAGTAACTATATACTTATGCAGTATCCGATTCTGGTATTGTGCTATCGAGATTGCCTCTGAGTCTACAGGGAAGGGCATTAGATCGGCGTTGAGTCAGCTTTGTGCCCCAAATTTCAAACCGCACCATCTATTTAATCAACAAACGATAACCAACCAACAGTTGAAGAGTATAAAAGCCAATTTAAAATGGAACGATAAATCTAAAGAGCCGTTGTTTCACGTTTCTCTCGATCTATAATGTCTAGCAGATGCGTTATAGATGTTACAACCAGCCTCTAGAGTATGTCTATTGGTATTTAAAGTGAGTATTAAATTCGCAGTCGGTAACTAATATTTCCTTTATTAGTGTCGTAAAGCAAGCTAACACATGTACAGCTTCCATAGATTTTCATTTAACTTTTTTAGTTTTTTTTTTTACGCAATTTAAAATGATAAACAAGCTGACGTCCCACGTAATGGAAAGTGGTAATCGTCGCCGAGTAGATACGAATAGTAATAAGTATAATTTATGGTTAAAAAACTTAAGTGAATTTCAGTCTAAATTATACGAGATGTTACATCCGAAAATATTTAATACAAGCATGTAGTGCCGTCTTTCCAGTTCCCAGTGTCACTAATTACAACTTATTTAATAAGTATATTTGCCTATTATTCAGAATAATATTTTATCTATCACTGAATATAATGTACATAATAAATACCAACATTTATTATATT